TACAACATCTTTCCGACGACACCAATTTGAAAAGAATCGGACCAAAACTGTAGTAGAAGATAGGAAAAAACTGAAAAACCTTCACGTTAGTATACTAAGCTCGAGGATGACGCCCAGATGTCGCCAACCCCACATCATGTAGCCCTGTCCCCAAGGTTTACAAATTACACGGCCTTGTAGATACACGTACACCCGTTGCCTTTCTACAAGAGTTCTTCTACGCGCCCACATTTGCTGCCAGCCAGCCGACCAGCCAGCCGGCCAGCAAGCCAGCCAGCCAGCCAGCCAAAGTGAGATTAAAAGCTACTTTTTACAAATAAATTTGCAAAAATGCGCTAAAAAGAAGATTCTGGGTGCACAACATATTAAATCCTTTAATACCAAAACCTAACTTTCCTTTTTTGATTACGATATTTAAAAACGTTCTACTCATTCGTGAAAGACATTGCATGCTTAATAAAATTGTAGGTGATGTTCTACTTGTTCGCCATCTATCGGCAACCTTCCCGCCAAATGCCCCTCTTAAAATAAATACGGAAACAGATTCCCGCGGGAGTGGAGAGGCGACCGGGGAACATTCACACGTACCAACACGCGTCGGTCACATCTGAGGGTTTTGAATCGTCACACGTGAGGTGGCGTGGCGTGGCGTGGCGTGGCATAGCGTGTGTCAAGTGTGTACGCGGTACATGTAAATAAATGGATGAATATACGCATACATTTTCGTCACATGGCGTGGCGTGGCGTAGCGTGGCGTGGCGTGTTGCCAATATTGTAATACTGAGGATCCTTCGATATTTCGTTGTATCGGTTTATTATATTAAATAAACTAAACAAATATAGAAAATGAGCCCCTGGGTATGGCTATAGCATGTGCAAAACCAAATTTTAAACCTGATGTTAGTTTTGCTTTTATTTAAAGTGTATATGTATGAAATTTCATTTAATTGCGTTTTATATGGCTAAAGCTATACGCATATTGAATTTCATGCAATTCGGTTCGTAACTCACGGAGATGTCAAAAGGGCCTTCCTTGTTTTTTGGGCTACATTGCCAATTCACGAACTCCGATCTAAAAATTTTATAAAGAATCCATCTACAAAATTTCATCGTAATCGGTCCATTCGTTATCGAGATATCGTGCTAATAGACGGACAGACGGATAGACACCGCAAAATTATAAACTCGCTAGGAGCTCGTTAATAAATATGAGCTGAGCGCAGATCTCTGATGTAATCCAACTCCCACAGGAAACATATCAGTCATTCCAACACTTGATCTTCTTCTGCTTCATTATACATGTCCTTCATCAGCCGCATATACTTTTCTGACATTCCCTTACCCCCATTCACCTCCACATTTCATCCCTAGGCACCGTGTTGTTGGCTTTCTCCAGATCTACAAGGAATAGGTGTAGTTTTTTTCCATTCTCAAGTAAGACTAAAATTGTCAAATTCTAAATCAGTCACCAACTGCAATCATGTAATTTATTCATTAGTTATGAATTTATTGCGCTTGGTCTCTACCAAAATCATAATATCACTCAACGAATAATTCAATGACGAGTTCAATGATATAGTACAAATATTATGCCAAAATATTTATCTGTTGTTTATGCAACACACATACCATAGTGACCGCGAAAAATGGGTGGCTCGAAAATGGTCTGGTTATACTCTATGGTCTGGTCAAGGTGGATTTCCACCTTGCGTCTGGTCTTGAATTTAATGTAGCCCCGTGGTATAAAAATTCGTTTCCATTGCAATACCCGACTACCTTCACGAGGGCACCCAGTAGGTTTTAAAATTCCGAATTTAATGTACCTACCAACAATAATTTGCATTGTAATCTCAGAAAATAATGAATGTATGAGCAAAATGAAAAATAGAATAACAATTATTGAATCAAGTTCCCTTTAATGGCATATATTTAAAGGAAGATTGTATACAGTTTTTTTGGACTCAATTCTATATATTGTGGAGGTTTTTAACTATCAAACACTTTCAGAAGCTGGAAGTTGGGGTCCAGCAAGGGTTTTCACGTGAAATATATCCTCGCTATTGTCTTTTGTGCTTTACTTTATATCATTTCGTAAAATAGCGACTTAGAAGAGGATCTACTTTGTAAATTCCAGTATGAGCATTGGTACACTGATATACAGGGTATCCCAACAAAAATTTGCACCCTTCCGTTTCCGGGAAATTAACAAAAAAAGTACTGGGTCAAGACTCATATCGCTTTAGTTGACCAAAGATAAAATTACTGCTTAATCATCAAATTTTCACTCTCATTATTGAAAATGATCTTGTTTGTCTTTCTCATACTCGAATTCTTTGAACTCTTTCCAGCACTCTCACTAATATGGTCATGATGTTTCGGAACCGGACCTTTCTACAACGGCAGAGGTACCTAAAGTGAAAACATCATTGAAATCTGAATAAGGTCATCTTTCGGAGATTTATTTGCAATCGTTCCCGTTCGCTCGTAAAGCTGGTGATTTTCATTAAGGAAACCACCAGAGATATTTTGAATAAAAAAATAAATAAAATTCATTGAAAGATCCATTAATCGTTTGGAGATTTATTCAAAATATCTCTGGTGCCCTTGTGAAGTTAAACGCGATTTTTAGGAATCGAATTCCTCAAAAACTCTGTAATTGAGCGCAAGCCTGTTGAGGACCCAGAACAAGAAAGGGACAATAAATAAAAAATAAAGTAAATGAAAACGAATTTGACATTTTCAGATACCTCAGTTATCTTCAAAGATTTTTCAAAAATTGCAAATGCGTTTTTTTAGTCACAAAATGAACTATGCACTCAATTAAGATTGTATCCCTAACCGTGATGGCGATCCCAATGGTGGGTCACGAATTAGAACCACCCTGTAAATCATAATGATTTAGTGTAGTGGTTCTTGAAATGGTACACAATGCAATACCTTAAAGTACGCTCTGCTACGTTTAAAAAAACCATCACTCACGCCGACATTCTTTCTGCTGTAAGGTGTGCGGCCTAACCGCCTGGTATGTCATCACACATCACATTTTAAATTGCACACCTGCACTAAACCTTTGAATATATATTCAAAGACTAAACCGAAGGCCCCTGTCGGTATTGCAACTGGCCATTCACGAACACACGCTTATTATTTGACTTTATATGAGGAACACCAAACCTTTGAATTCGAATATAACGACGGTCGCGACCACGATCACCGAAGTTTTATTGCACAAAATACAGTGTCATAAATCTATTTTACAAAATTGCAGAAAATATCGTATATCGTAAGGACTAAAGTCACCTTTAGTAAGGACTATCTTCAAAAATGTTATTTATCCATGGTCAAATACTTATTTATATATATGTACTATTTACAATTTTCCAACACGTACCTACCTACTTTTAGAAATCTTGAGCACCAAGACACAGACTCTTCAATTTGAAATGGGTTTTTGCATCTATCACCACATTTGCAATAGGAACAACAAGAAGAGCTATTTGTTAAGCAGTTACATGTAGTTTGGAACACTTTTTGTACGCACGCCCTTATTTTGAACCCAAAAATTATATGAAACTTTTTGTACAGCTCATTAAGACATATCTTTTTTTGTATTTACCATTGTACGAGTATGCTATGGTGCTTACTTTCTGAGAAAAGTGCAAATTAAAAAAATTATAAAATAAATAGTTGACCTTTCAGTTTAAAGTTTCTCAAAAACTACGAAACACAAAAAAAACTGTAATGAACTTTTTTGTAGAGTTTTTTATGGCATATTAGCTAGTGTATGCGAAAAAAAATTTTTTACAAACCGTTATGACCTTTTGAATCTTTTCGCACCCTCAAAAACCTTGAAGTTGGTAACGGACCGAAACTAAAATAGGACGTTAGCGATTTCCCATGCAAACCCATAGACATTCGAAATTTGATCAAAATCAGTTCAGTCGTTTTTGAGTTATCGTGTTCACAAAAAAAGAACCACATGGTGAAAAAATCGTATGGAATAGTGATTTTTCTACTACTACCTTAGAATGACGTCATACTTGCTTCATTTTGAACAACAGAATATCGCCTATTCTCTGCTAGTAAAGTGGAATAATTTCATTCTAGCTCTTGTGATGGAATGAGCACATGTGGCGACATCTAATACAGGACATCCTAAAGCACAATTCTTAAACTGTCAAAATTTTAATTACGCTTGCGCCAGATTTTGAATTTTAAGGGCCGGTAGCACGAAAATGAATAGCAGTGGCCAGTGAGGATTTAATGGAACTTTCAAATACTCCCCCCGGAAATCACCGCGGAAGCAGAACACGCAAAAAAATTTACTTCCTGACAAACCAAAAGTGTAGGAACATACATATAGCAAATTTTTGGAGTGGAGGATCAAGAAAAAAACCAACTCATTTTCAGAGAACCTAGTGCTAATTTACTTTAGCGAACTATCACAGGAAGTTAAAGCATTCACATTGTGGAAAACGTATTCCATGGTGCGGTCTACGATACTTTTGAACAATTAATGTAGATATAAGCAGCTATGCATGCTAAGTTGCAGGCCTTAAAAACGCATTCCAGCGGCTCAAAAAGTCAAAAATTCTATCAACGAGCAAAGTAAAAATGTTTATTCAAAAAGCCCCCTCGACAGTTTATATTTACTATAACATTACACATTCAAATCGTTACTCGTTACATCATATCTATTTTACATTTAAAGGATGCTCTTATAGTTGGCATTAGTGGTGCTTGTCGTAAGCACGAATCGTGTTCGTGGAACATAAAAATCGACCACATACAAGGCTTAGGTGGAACTGTAATTAGAATACCCAATACGAAAACTAACGTACAACGAAAGTTTACAATTACGGGGGACCCACGTTGGTATACCTACAACCAAACATCAAGTTGCATATTGCTACAATGAATTAATATACCTCACTGCACTATACAAAAAGAACATCCAGATCCAAACAAAACCTGTGTAGTCATCCAGTTGTGACGAGAGACACAGGGGTTTTCAATGCGGCCGGATCAAGAGGCACTATAGATATTCAACTATGGTATCAATGGTAGCAATGACCTGTATAATTTTGTGAATAAATTATGCTTGTAATGAAGTAGTTGATGATTCCAAATGCAATAACAAAACATGGTGGCAGCGTGCGGACTGTGAGTGTTTAAAGCTAGGCTGTTTTAGGAAGTTTTTTAACACGGAAGCAACCCACGTGGAGAGATTTTTTTTTCCCTGCCAAAATGCCAGACACCGAAGCGACAGGGGGTGTCGAAGTATCTGTAGGTCCGGCATCATCCGTTTATCAAATCCCAGCACCGGAGCTGTTTTCTTTCAAAGCCGAGGATTGGGAACAATGGCAGTCGCGTTTTTTGAGGTTTCGCAGTGCCTCTGGTCTGGAGCTGAAGTCCAGCAAAGACCAGGTAAACTCTCTCATTTATCTTATGGGCGCACAGGCCGAGTCAATATTTCAATCGTTCAAATTATCGGATGACGACGCATGCAAGTTCGATATCGTATTGGCCCGATTTAAAAATCACTTCGTACCAACTAAAAACATAATTTACGAACGGTACTTGTTTCACACGCGTTATCAAAAGGAGGGTGAGAGTGTGGACGATTTTGTAACAGCCTTGCATACTAGAGCACAAGACTGTAAATTTCCAGTGGCGTTTCGCGAAGAAGCTATTAGGGATCAGGTCGTAGTGGGTATTCGGGATAAAACTTTGTCTGAAAAGTTACAACTAGATGCGGCTTTAACGTTAGAAAAAGCGGTAAATACAGCTAGACAATCAGAGGTTGTTAAAAAGCAGCAAGAAGCATTTCGTAGTGCTGCGAGTTCCGTTGACCGTGTGTCGTCGCGTTCGAGCGGTCTTAAAAATACAAAATACCATCCTCCTCGCGAAAAAACTCAACAAAAGGACACAAATAAAGACAACTTGTGCTTTTGGTGCGGTCATACGCGTGAACATAAAAAGCAGGACTGCCCCGCGCGGACAGCAGTCTGTAGCAAGTGCAAAATTAAAGGACATTACGCGCGCGTGTGCAAATCTAAGTCAAAGACTGTCGGAGCTACTCAGTCGGTTGATGATGACGCGTTCGTTGGGGAAACGTCTTCGAATAAATTAGATTCATGGCATACTAATGTTAAAATTAGCGGAAAAATGGTAAACGTGAAAGTCGATACAGGTGCCGATGTAAGCGTCATGCCAGTTACCACTTACAAGTCAATGTTTGCTAATCATGAGTTGACACCAGCTGATAGACTCGTAGCTGGGCCTGGTGGAGAGAGATTAAATGTTTTTGGGATTTTTCAAGCCAGGGTTTCTGTGAGAAATGTTTCAGTCTCTGAAAGTTTTTATGTGGTTCAGGGAGCAACACGGATGTTACTAGGTCTTAACGCGTCTGAAAATCTGGGACTAGTTCGCCGTTTGTTTGAAGTCAAAGCTAGGGCGGTATCCTTCGATCCTCATCAAAGTTATCCTGATCTGTTCCAAGGGTTAGGAAATGTAAAGCACCTGTATTCGATCAAAATTAATAAGGATGCAGTCCCATTTGCCATAAGCGTCCCTAGGCGCGTCCCCTTACCCTTAAAAGGTGAACTCAAAAAGGAATTAGATGACATGTGTGCTAAAGGAGTCATTGAACCTATTAGTGAACCCACTGAGTGGTGTGCTCCACTTGTCATTGTACCCAGACGCTCAGGTCGCATGCGCCTCTGTGTAGACCTGTCTCAACTCAACAAAGCAGTAGAAAGGGAATACTTTCCAATTCCAGACGTGAATTTCACTCTTGGACAGTTAGAGGGAGCCAAAGTTTTTAGCAAACTTGATGCAAACAACGGCTTCTGGCAAATCCCGCTTTCTGAGGATAGCATGTCGCTGACAACCTTCATAACTCCATTCGGGAGGTTCAAATTCCGTCGACTACCTTTTGGTCTGTCTTCTGCTCCAGAGGTTTTTCAGAAAAGGATAAGTCAGGCATTGGAAGGTCTTGAAGGTGTCGTCTGTCACTTCGATGACGTCGTAATTTTTGGGAAAGACTCAGAGGAACATGACTCTCGCTTGGACGCTGTGTTAAAAAGGCTCAGGAAAACTGGGTGGACTTTAAATAAAAGCAAGTGTGAGTTTCGAAAGAACACCATTACGTTGCTTGGGCATGTTGTTTCCAAAGAAGGGGTTGTCCCAGATCCCTCGAAAGCTAAGGCAATTCTTGAGATGCCTGTACCTACAAACGTCACCGAGCTGAAAAGGTTTCTAGGCATGATTAATTTCTTAGGAAAGTTTGTGCCTAACCTGTCATCAATCGCACAACCACTTTACGAATTGTTACGTCATGACAAGGATTGGTATTGGGGCGAGGAGCAAGCGAAAGCACTGAAATCTGTGAAGCGAGCTATTGCTGAACCACCAGTTCTTGCTCTCTATGATAGCAACAAGGAGACCTTACTGTCAGTTGACTCATCATCACATGGACTTGGGGCCGTGCTGATGCAACGAGATCCAGGGGCAAGTTTCAAACCAGTAGCGTTCGCATCCCGTACGCTGAGTCAGAGTGAGAAACGTTATGCCCAGATTGAAAAGGAGGCCACTGCAATTGCGTGGGGCTGTGAAAAATTTTGTGATTACATAACCGGCAAATCCATCACTGTTGAAACGGATCATAAACCGCTAGTAGCGATCCTAGGTGAAAAAGACTTGGACAGTCTCACACCACGCCTTCAGCGCATAAAAATGCGGCTAATGAGGTATGCTTATGTGGTGAAGTATACTCCTGGGAAAGAATTGGTAATTGCAGATACCTTATCTAGAAGCCCGGTTGATACTGAAGATTCTCAGGAATTAGCAGAAGAAATTTTGGCGTATGTGCAATACATAATTTCTTCATTTCCGTCTACTGATGATAGGCTGTCAGAAATAGTGTTGGGTCAACACGAGGATCCGGTTTGTTGTGAACTTTCCAAGTACTGTTCTGAAGGATGGCCAGCACGTCATAGTATCTCTCAAGAGTGTGTCCCATACTGGCAGCACAGGAACAGAATTACTCTGCAGGAAGGACTTTTAATGAAGGATAGCAGGATCGTTATTCCTCAGTCATTACGTAAGGACATCTTAGACAAACTTCACAATGGGCATCAAGGCATCTCCAAGTGTCGTTCCTTGGCTAAACAATCTGTTTGGTGGCCCGGGTTATCAACTCAACTTGAAGAGCTGGTTAAGAATTGTGTGTCCTGTATCAATAAAGACCAACTAGATCCTGTGGAACCTTTAATTCCCTCCGAGCTCCCACAACGTCCATGGCAGGTTGTAGGAACAGACTTATTAAAACTGAGTGGACAGTGGTTTCTTATAGTTGCGGACTATTATTCGAGATTTTTCGAAATCGCGAAACTTAAGAACTTAACGTCGGAGTGCGTGATAACACATATGAAGTCAATATTCGCGCGGTACGGGGTGCCGGAAGTAGTTAGATCTGATAACGGGACACAGTTTTCGCAAACGACCCTGACTTCAGAATATCGTAAATTCGCGAAACGGTTCGGGTTCAACGTCATAACCTCCAGCCCAAATTTTGCGCAAAGTAACGGCTTTATTGAATCCCAAGTGAAAAACTTTAAAAATCACTTTAAGAAGAGCGAAGATCCATATTTGATGTTGCTGACATTACGCTCGACACCTTTAGAAAATGGCTACAGCCCGGCTGAATTACTTATGGGGCGGAAAATCAGAGGTGTTGTTCCGATTGCTCCAAGCCTGCTGACTCCATCTGTACCAGATCAAGAAAAGGTGTTTCAGAAAGAAAAACAGAAGAAACTATCAGAAAAGGAATGGTTTGATAGACGTCATAGGGCAAAAAGTCTCCCAGAGTTGTCAGTAGGCCAGAAAGTTTGGATCTCCGATCGTCGAGAAGAGGGGGAGGTGGAAAGCAAACACGAGTCCCCTCGCTCATACATGGTTAGAAGTCCGGGTGGGCTTTTCCGTAGGAATAGAAAATTCCTACACCGCCTTCCCTCATGCTCTAACAATGAAAATTCGCAGGCGCTCTTGGAGGAAGCTGAACATGACTCACCTCAACAGTCTAACAGTGAGCCTACAGATTCCACACCATGCGTCCTCGTAGAACCTCCGGCCCAGGAACCTGCTTCTGAAGTCCAACCCCTTCGCAGAAGCAATCGGGAAATCCATCCACCAGTACGTTTGGATCTTTAAGGGGGAGATGTGTAGTCATCCAGTTGTGACGAGAGACACAGGGGTTTTCAACGCTGCCGGATCAAGAGGCACTATTAGATATTCAACTATGGTATCAATGGTAGCAATGACCTGTATAGTTTTGTGAATAAATTATGCTTGTAATGAAGTAGTTGATGATTCCAAATGCAATAACAAAACAAAATCCAAATAAAAATAATTGAAAAATCAAGGTTATTGGTATGGAATTTAATAAGCTGTCATATAATATGATAATATTCCAGATGTCCCATATAAAAAAGTCGAATTTTTGATATTATCTGAAAAATGCGATGCTGTGGTGTTTTTTAAATTACAGAATTGGATTCAGAAGACAAAAATACACAATTCTGAACTCTTTCTAACTCTACAGCTAATGGCCGTTTGCAGTGCTTAGCTTAAGCGTAACTTAAAATCCATGGCAACGATTATTGAGACAATGGTTGCCATGCATTTTAAGCTACGCTTAAGCTAATCTCCGCTTAAATTTGTCGGTGCAAACGGGCATAAGACTGTTAGCAATAGTGGCGAAATAATTGGAAACAGAATGTATACTCAACATCTGTTTTTCTAGCAAAGCTCTAGCTTTCCATGGGTTGCGTAAAAAATATTTGATTTTTGCGAAAAAATTACATTGCACTATACTATTGTATGCGATCAAAAATGAGTTGCTGTCGAGTCACCTTTGGAATTTTTGTTTACATGGAAAATCGTACTTAACTTGAACTTCCAAAGGCGACTCGACAGCAACTCATTTTTGATCGCCCGTTACACGTTCCATATAAATTCTCTAATAGCTTTTGTTATTTATGCTTGTATAAGGAAATATCGCCTGATTAAATTGTAAGTGCGAACTTAACGAAATTGCATTGAATTCGTTTTCCATGGCACACTTAAAACGATCAGCAGTACATGGTGATTGTTCTAAGCATTTTGGGAGAGAATTTAGCAGCGGGGGGTTTGGGGGGGTATGGAATACCTCGCAGAAGACGGAGAGACCTTTTCCCAAAAACTAGGCACCAACGAAAGTGATAGGAGTAAAATAAATAGAATGATCAAGTTCTACTTAGCTAAGAGCACTCGCTCTGCTGACTGGAGGGTATTAGTTCATAAAATACAAAATCGAATGCAAAACTCGTGTTTGCATGGGAACAAAATATTTGGTGAAAATGTTCAAATGAATAGTTTTGACAAAAAAACTTGTGTTTTCCTAGGCTGATCATAGTTTGGCAACGCTTCTCGATACAACTTCTTTGAGGTAAAGGTTGAAAATTCAATGGACAAGAACTGAAGATAAATTTGTTACATGATTATATATCTCAGTCGTCATATGGTCCAACATCTTCACCCAGACCCAATGTGCGTGTCGTCCATGACCAAAATTTGATGCTACTTTATGTTAACCACGACGTGGAGAAAGTACTTGAACTCCAGGCAATCATGAACTTTTATTGTTTGTTGGTCAAAGTTATGGTTTTATTGACCAAGAACTTAAACTTGTATTTGTTGATCGTCATTTGCGATCAACTGCGAATTTATTATTTATTGCAAAAGTATGTGGAACGAGAAAAGATGAGTCACACATTACGCAAGAAGTTGTGTCATCTTTTATTCGAAGTGTATATCCTGTCGAGTTACGTTGATATATTTTTCCAGTAGACAATTTTAGATATCTCTACCACATAGTTTTGCTGGCAGAAATGCAGGGGAATTGGGAAACATGCGGCGGCGGATTATTGTCGCGTAAGCTATCACAATGTGGGAAAGTCGAGATTTACAACAAAAATGTGCGGTTTTATCATCTTTAAAAATGATCGATCACAGCTGTTGGTGAAAATCTACAAGTATCTAAAATTTAAGCTCGCTAATAAACATTCCGCCGCTGTAGGACAGATAGCATCCATCTATTTATAGGGGAACAGTTGGCATTTGTGCCAAACATACCTGAGTATGTCAGACGCGTTTATTCGGTACAAATAACAAAAAAAAGATACAATGGCTCATGCTGTAGGTATTAGTAGACGATGGGATTGTAATACTATGCGTCAGCAGGTGCCGAATTTGATCCACAAACCCTCGTAATTTTTGCTGGGGATCATTGATGAAACACAAACTGAAGCAAATCAAGACAAAGCTTTTTGGCGGTTTTGTTTCAATTTGTATGTTCGATTTTGAATTTCCTACAAGCCAATGTATAAGATGTACCTACTGGACAGAACGGTTCTTCAAATTTGCGCCGTTATTGACAACATGGGCAGGCGAAAAAAACAAGTCATTTCCTTTGCAAAAATAGGTACATGCCTTAAATTTTGACGCTTATTAGCGTCATAATGACGTTAGGAATTACAAGTTTCGTCCAAGTGCCTATTCATAGCTTAATTTTCGCATTTGTACGAGATAAATTTACATCGCTTGGAAAGGGCTCATTATTCCAATTGACAGGTTAAAATTCGCATTCTTTCTTTTTCAGAGTGTCAAAAGCTTTTCATAACAACTAATAAAAGCTTTGAAAGGGCGTCTGCCCTTGACTTAAGACTCGTATTGAATAATTTCGCGCGAACAAAACGAAGATACCGTAGACACCTGTTAAAAATATAAGCAAAACGGCTTTCGAATGGCAGGATCGTTAAAATAGAAAAGATTTTTTGGCCAAGCGACGTGCGGGCGCCGGCTTTAATCGTATAATTAATTTAGCCGTAAGGTCGGTAGGTATGAAAAATTTGTCGCGATGTCTCTAAGTGTAAATGTCTCCGTAATTTATCTGAACTTGAGAAAAACGCCACTCAGATTTCGACACAAAAAGGCGAAACACAAAAATAAGTAACCTTGGCAGCAACTTTTGTATTTAAATTTACATTTATTTTAAGCCTAAACGTGACTTATTCTTTACGTACCTGTGTTGCTCCTGTATTCTCCAATATAGCGCCTTGTCAAGTATCGAACGGTCAACGCTGAAAGAATAAGGAAATCATTAAATTAGCAACAATGTATACATTTGATCGCAGATTGTAAATCTCTTATTTATTACAAGGAAATTGAACTGTGAATATTACTAAATAACCAGAAGCGATTCTTCTCCAATAATTTGGTATTTTATATGTCCTCGGCGAGTAAATTAATTTTAAGTCGAAATTCTTTCGCTCACTTCCTGGACGTCTATAAAAAGTTATTCCGGAAACGTGCGCCACTAAATGTGTCAAAACAATAAAACGTACACAAGAGCTAAACTATTTTGTAAAAATTCGTAGCAAATTTGATTAATTTCCAAACGGAACTAACCTACATTTTATTGCGCTTAAATCGATGTAAAGAAGCCTAACGGTTCTATTATTGTCTAGACGCTTTTGTAATAATCGAGATTGGCATTGAATCAAATTCGCTAGGTACTCGAGGAGTACCTCAGGGATCTTCGATTTGCCACTACTCTCCGCGCGTGATGTAATTGTGCTGGTATGCAGGAGTTACTCTTAAATTTAGAATTAAAAGTTATCTATGATTAATTTAAATGGATTATCGTTGAAAACAAAATCCGTGTCATATAATTCAAATATTTTGAGCGAAGACAAAAATGCGGATGAAAGGCTTAAGATGAATCACGCCACAAGGAGATCCTTGAATTTGTGAAGATTAAGCCATTACCCACGGTGGAATTCCAAACTTTCATGTAGCGGAATGTGTTTTCGTTATGTGAAATCATAATTTTTCGGCAAGAATGCTAACATATGGTTTGATTGGCGGGCATTGTAAATATTTTCACGGAATTCTGAGTAAAATTTACAGTAAGTACAGTTCCAAGGACAATAACAAAAACAGTAGGCGAGTTTATGAATCGCTGTGGTTATTACACTTGCGATTTACTGTACTTCAAATAGCCAAAGGCCAGATATTCTTGTAATGAAAGTGAGAAACCTTACCTGATTTTCCAACATTCGATTTTCCAATGACTGCTATACGAACTTTTGGCATATTATTCTTGTCCTCCGTTTTCATTTTCTAAAACAAGTAGAAGTGATTTAGTGAAAAATGCGTGGAACTGTTTGAACTTGTGTAGTTTAGCGGAAAATACAAGAAATTGACTTCAGGAAGTAATTATCTTCTGTTTGCTTATAACGATTTGAAAAAGAGGAGGCTTTGAACGCTAATTAAACGGTTCATTCGTTTGTATCACTTGCACTTATTGCGTCCGATACTAACGACATAATAAAACTATTGCCCATACCATTTTTTTTTACTTTTACAAACTGAAACCCTTTCGGTTGGTTTGATTGGATAGCATTAATTCATTAAATATTCCCAAATGCAAAGTTCAGTTGAGTGGCTAGTTTCTAGGTTCATTTACATCTGTCAGAACAAATACCTTGGTATCTCGCAACTTAATGTTCCAAAGTTGGTATACTCTCAATGAATCGACGAATAATATAAATGATTTTTAAGTGAAACGACGCTATGTCGCCGACCGTCTCGAATTTGGAATTTCAACGGCGCCCGTTCACAGTCAAACAAAATTGAGACAAAAATAACTTAACTGGAATTTATGGAATAAAGACAATTATATGATTTACATATTGTACAAAGCGAAGGTAATGTGAATAATTTGTGGGTACAGTACAAATTCACTCGATAAAAGCTAGCAGATGGCTTACCGACAGAAACAATACCCGTATTGGTTTACACAGGATGTTTATTTTTGCTTGTTATAAAAACAGCCAAATTTTCATTTCCATTAAAATGTTTAAAATGAAAAATAGAGTTCGGTGTTTGCCACCCACTCGTTGATCTCGTGACATTTAAATGTGAAAATTAGTGACTTCGTAACTAGAAAATTGCGCACATGCCTGAGATACTTTAAATATTCATTTTGAACTTGACGTTCGCATCTGGTACAAAATGCCGTAGATTTCATTAAACAAACGAAAAAGAAGAAAAAAACAAAAGACAAAAACCGAAAGGGTTCGTTTACAAAAGGGAATTTGATACAACCACTAAGTAGGGCAACAGGTTATTGGTTATTGGAAAAACGTTATACTCTCGTGAAGAAATATGAGATATTTACCTCAGTACGTCCCTGACACTAATAAAGTAATCAATTTTGAACATTTATCGCACTAATTACCGAATGGGCGCGTAATTTGATTATAAATTCGACTTTACCTGAACGATGTCGATCATTGATGGGTGGATAACCAATTGTGAAAAAGAACCAAAATTAGTCTGACCGCACAAAATGAATCGTCGAACACAAATCACGATCGCACTTTGCGGAAAGCACCTGCGGCAACTACTGACTGCTTCTACCGATAAGAATAAACCTACTGAATGAAGCGGCGTCGCGACGCTCATGTATATATTACTTCCGTTGCTATGGGAACGGGTAGCGTCCCCACGACTGCAAGCACTTGGCATGTGCCGGGCGAATTCACTTCTTCAGTTTTTGCCTATGTCGAGTTGATCACACATCCCCTTGCAGTTTCAATTTCGCGGAAAACCAATTCGAATAGCTCAATGAGATTTAAATCCATTTATTGGCAAGAATTGAGCGACTTTAAAGGACGGAAGGAAATATACTCCGAAATAATAAAAACAAATATTTTTCCACAAAATCATGTTGGTGACGACTAGGCGAAGTTCCGAATGCATGAGAAGTAATCCTGCGCTCATCGCCCCCACATTTCATCAGTTTTAATTTAAAAAAAAAGTATCTTCTTAACCTTTCACCGTTCTGGATCAGTAATGGATAAATTATGCAAACCTACCTACTCCATGTTTTCATTGTGACTTTATTACAATTTTGAGTTTCGTAATGAGACGATGCGTGAATTTTGATTATGCAGGTATATTTAAAGATGCGTGGAACAAACAACTATAAATAGATCTATTTTATCAATAACTATTTTAATATCCTTCGGTGCGCTCCCCAATTAATATTCAACAAACAACAAATGTTTGAAGTGTTGTTATCTTACCGCTTCGCATTAGATTTAGTAATTGATATGAGGTTTTCCCCCATTATTTGGCATTTTTAATCACGGATAGTTGTTTTGCAAAGCTGTATCATTTTTGAACATGCAGGACTGTGGGGTTGGATGGCTCAGGTCTATAGTATATCATTTGGTAAACGAATGCCTATGCTAAACGTAGGTATGATGTTGGTATGGGTACAGAGATGATTTAATTAAGTTCACGTAAATAAGTTATAGAATCAAATTTGCGAAGCTGGAGTGTAGTCGCAATCTCTGTCAACTCACTTATCAGTGTACCATTAGCGTATACCGGCGTACCAATTTTCAGTCGGGGTTATTGATTCAATATTGCAGGTTAGTCGCAAACAAATCAAACTTAAAATTCCGCCATCCATATTAAACCAAAAGCGTTATCTCTAATTAGAATGTTGTAGGTACACATTCAAATAAAAGCAAAGGTCGATCACTTGATTTGTTTGATCTGACCACAGCCGTCTATAATTACAAGCCGTGCTGAGAATTATGGCAACACTGCATGGTAGGCCGATTTCCTAATTCAACTTGACAGATTTTGAGTGTATTTTATATGTGTTTTGGGTGTAATATTCCAATTTACCTGTTTTAACAGAGCGAAATTGCGACAATTTGTGTTACTCCCTACGGAATGAACAGAAATTATTATTCAGGTAAGTAAATATATCGATTTGTTGTCATAACCTCTATAGCAGGCTACTCCTTACTGGACCCTTTAGAAGCACTTTTATTTGTTCAAAATACCTGTAAGAAGCTCAAATATGACCTACACACTACCTGGTACGTAAGTACGGTAAGTGTTTATCGTGAGAAAATACAATTAGTTTGTATTTCAGATATTCTAGCACGGACATTTCAAATCGATTTTCTGAAGGAACCTTTCAACTTATTCCTAAGAGTTCATGGTACGAGAATTTGAAGTCTACGGGGCTCCCCTCTTTAAAAGCTTCGTACCTAGACCCACTGGGGTAGCGACTGGCTTAAAGTCTGCCATTCCGAATCACATCCTGGTCGTTGATATAACCTCGCCGAGGCACAGCGATTTACTGTCCTTTTACCGAAATTAAGTGCTCAAGCAAGTGCTTCAACTCGACCTCTTTCGACAGAAGTTCACCAATTTCGGAGATCTCGATGGAAAACGCATTATGATGCAGTTACCAATTAATAGCGTTCCGAATTTTAACGTCAAATAAAAATGTTATTATCTATTTTTGTAAATAAAAAAAATATATGTACAATTGTAAACTGCCTAAGTATCTTTCTTCTGTATTAAAACCACCAAGGCGAAATACAGGAGAGAGGAAAATGCAATTTTACAAGAGCAACAAGACGCCATTAAAACTTATATCGGCCCACCGATTGACTATCGGACAACGTTGCCAAACTTCTCAGCATGGCTTGTAATTATAGCCGGCTGTGATCTGACACTAGTTTGACAAATATCAATGCAGACGTTTAGATGGATGTCAGTTGCGGTTGCTAGGCAAAATTTCCAGTCTGGTAAAAATGTTCAGTCTGGTAAAATACGATTTACCAGACTCAAATCAGTCTGGTAAAGCGGCGATTACTAGATAGTATGAAATAAATGAAATTACTGTGTTGAAGGTAATTACTGAAATGCCGATCTAGTATCTATTCGTGAATAGGTATATACTCAAACGGTCGAAATGACTCCCCTAAAACCGAGATAAAATTGTACTTAATCTTATTTTCTAGGGATAGTGCGAAGGGGTAGAAGACGCAGGAACGAAATGAGCAAATAAAGAATTACAATAGTTACCAATAGTATGGTTTCTATTTCAGTTATAAACTAAAAATTCCTAAAAATAAGCGAATATCCTATATAGTGTGGGGGTTATAGGTTTCAACCTTGCATTTTGTGATAACTTTATGAAACTTTTAGAGGATATTCTAGACACCCTAAGGTTCAATTTCAGCTATGTTGCCACCCCCGCAACCCCGGACGGCACTTGCTATAGCGGGTTTCTTAAGTGCAAGGTAGCATTTCAATGCCCGCCCGTAAAATGGGTCAAAAATGTATATCCAGGGTTTGTTTTGTACTTTCTAGGAAGGTTGAAGGGAATTGTCAAATACCCAGGGAGAATTTATTTAGGGTATTTTACGTGGTTTACGCTTTTAACAGTGCGGGCAGTAAAATCGTGACGGAGACCTCTTTTGGCTGCTCTATTGAATACTGTATAGTTAACTATGCTCTAAAGTATTTATTAAAACTTTACAATACTGAAAGGAAAGTTAACGATAACTATGGCACTAAAATTATTGAACCCTATCTTGAGAACACTCCCCTCCGCAGTCACACAATTCGGTGCAGGGCATGTCGGACTTGGCACAGCTGCATATTTGTGTGCAACCTTTCTTAAGAGAGGCGGTAAGTAGGCGAATATATGAATTTACAATTGAATCCATATTCAACAAACAAACTTAATCTACATACATTCGCAGGACATGTATGGGGGCATTGCCTCCTGGCGCAACAGCAACTTCCGGATCCATGTGATTGGGGTTGGAGAAACTCGAGTGAAGATCAAGAATGGGAGCCTGTCTGGATTTTAAAACCTCCAGTTCTAGAAGCTTTTGTAATCTTAGTAAAATGTGGATGTAAGAAAGGTTGCACACAAAGATGCAGCTTTGTCAAGTCCGATGTGACCTGCACCGAATTGTGCGACTGCGGAGGCGAGTGTTCTCAAGATAGGGCTCAATAATTTTAGTGCCGTAGATATTGTTAACTTTCCTTTCAGCATTGTAATGTCTCAATAAATACTTTAAAGCATAGTATAATATTCAATAGAGCAGCCAAAAGAGGTCTCCGTCACGATTTTACTGTCCGCACTAGGGAATGCAATACCGGGATTGCGGGATCCCGACCAAGGGGGCTCTGTTAATGAAACTGATAACGGCGAATTATTTTTTAAATAATTGTTAAACTTTTTTCGTTAAAAATGTACTATGATCTTTGAGGCACTTTAGAAGACTTTTTGTGCTTTACAGGTAAGGTTTTTTTGAGTTCTAAGATAGGCCGAAGGTACTTTCTTGTTAAATATTGTGATAATTAGCGATTTATTTTAATACAGAAGTTAACCGCACAGAATTGCATATTTGCCAATTTATTTAAAGTTTGGCGAGATCCCGCAAATACCGGGACCCCGCGGGATTAACATCTAACAATCCCGCAAACACCGGGATTGAGATTTTGCTGCGGGATTGCATTCCCTAGTCCGCACTGTTAAAAGTGGCTTAAAAATAGGCAAACCACGTAAAATACCCTAAATAAATTCTCCCTGGGTATTTGACAATTCCCTTCAACCTTCGTAGATGTAAGAAAATACAAAACAAACCCTGGACATACATTTTATGGGCGGATATTGAAATGCTACCCTGCGCTTACGAAACCCGCTATACCAAGTGCCGTCCGGGGCTGCGGGGATGGCGGCATAGCTGAAATTGAACCTTAGGGTGTCTAGAACATCCTCTGAAAGTTTCATAGAGTTATCACTAAATGCAAGGTTGAAACCTATTTTGGCTCTTAACCCCTGCACTAATACACTGTGATGGACATGAGATTTACATTTTGTAATTTGGTAATGAGAAATTCAGAAATTAATTACTCGTTTAAATTGCTATTAATTATGTCGAAATTGTCATTCAGCGTTTGTGCACTTTTATATCCAAAGTCCAATGCACGTCTTTAACCGATAATAATTAGGTTAAGTTAAGATAGTAATTATTTGGCGTCCGCGATGTGCAAATGGGGAGTTAGTTTTCAGGAATTTAAACACATTTAAGAGCCTTCAAAAGTATATGTAAGGTCTTTGCAAAACTTGCAAGAGCACAAACACGTGGTTTCAATAACAGCTTTTCAGTTAAGAAATTGAAATTTCAGACTGTTTTATAGGAGTGGATCCGAGTCATGACCCATCATGATATATATTAATCATTTTTAACAAATCACATCCACTAAGAAGAACAATGTTCAGTGCATTATAATAATAATTATTATAACGTATTTATTATACCTAGAATAGTATATAATAATAATGTATAAGTATATCCGTGTTCATTACATATAAATGCATGCCTTCTATATGCACTTTCTCGATCCCTTCGTTCACCGTAAACTAGTTCTAGAACTTTCAAAATATTACCTTAAATCTTTACCACTTGAGCCAAGAAAACTCTGAACAATCGTATACCTTTAAGAACCCTTCATAGGTTTTAAGTCTTTATTGGTAGTAAAAAAATTAAGCATTTAAGAGTATTTTAGTGAGACAGAGATAATTACACTTGATTATTATACCACCCACCTTCTCTCAGGCTCAGACCTCCTAGATGCTAGTGTTA